CGAGGGAAATGGGATTGCGCACCATTGCTCTACCTGTAATAAATTCAATACGGAGAAATTATCCTCCGGATGCAGGAGCACATATAGCTCTCAGTAAGTACACTACCGCAAGCAAACTTCTGTGTTAATTTAAGCATATCTCAGTACGTGCTAAATAAATGGTTTCTTCTCTTTTAGGAACTGTACGTAGATTCTTGGAGCAATACGATTCGTTAACGTGTGTTATATTTGTATTAGAGCCGTGCGATCTTGGAATATATGAAATTCTTCTGCCACTTTATTTTCCCCGAAATTTGGCAGAGCAGGACAACGCTTGCTGGCAGTTACCGAATGATATTGGCGGTATGGATGGAGAACCTTTACTTCCGGATAGACAAATCAGAATTATTGACAATCCTCAGCACGCTTTACACGGTAAAGAAATATTTTAATGTAACATTGTAGCTACATACAAAGGTTTAATACGATATAACTTTGAAAAATACATCGCACTTTTACAGGCGACGATACAGTAGAACTTTCATCGCAATTAGAAACTTCGGTTAATATTGGCGAGCATGCTTTTGCGCAAATGCAAGGTGATTTGGACCGACAGAGACTTTTGGGAGAGAGACCTGCCGATCCACTAGCGGATATTATGCTCAAGCAAATGCAACATAAAGAAAGGTACGAAAATTTGTGAGACACTTTTTAACACACAATTTCGCCAGGATTGTTTAAACAACATGTATATTATTTTTCTATAGAAACAAGATTAATTTTCAAAGTAAATAAGACTCTAGAATAATAATTCAAAGTTAAAAAAAATCTATAAAAGCCAAAACTTGGTTCTGTAAGTTTTCTTTCTAACTTTGGGATTAACTTTGTAATAATTATTTAATATTGCAATTAATTTGCAATAAATTAATGGCCAGTTAGCTATGAGTAATCAGCACATTTAAATCAGAAGAATAATACGAGTTTATTTTTATGGTCAGATTGAAATAATACACATTATTAATATTGAAGAAAGAGACGTTGATTATTTTAAAAATTCGGGGAAGAAAATTTGCATTGATAATTCATCATTTACACTAATTTATCAATATATCTGAAGTTAGCAGACCATTATTTAGCGGAAAATTATTGCAAAACTGGATTTTTTCGTTAATACAAAGTTTTAACGAGTTGACAGCGCCATGTTTCTCTCTTCTTTATCCACGCAGCAAAACAAAAAATATATTCGTACAGAAAAACTGTACTTATCTCTTATCGATACAAAAGTTAAATGTTGCCATATGGCTAATAAAAGATAAGAAATTTCTTCTATATCGACATAAAAATAAAAAATGTATTGTATGTTTATGAGCATGGAGAATGAATAGTAAACTTTTAGGGATATAAAGGACATCAGTCAGTCGTAATTCAATTTATATTATATCATTTTATAATAATGTATAACTTCGGGCATTTGATTTTTTGTAATATTTTTCACAAATATCTAATTCATTACAACTTTCTTCGAGATTATTGCTCTCGTTTTATAGAGTTCATTACTTACTCTGCAGAGCAACTTGTATTAATTAATTATCTTAATTAATATACGCAATTATTTTAAATAATTATCTTAATTAATACGCAATTATTTTAAATAATAATAATGTTATAGCTTAACATATATTCTTGTGTAATTTCTGTAAAGTTTTTATTTTCTATGGAGTTTTTATTTTCTCTTAAAGTTTCTCATTTGATACTAATTTTGTATACTCAGGTACAAGTAATTCTATGTCACAAAATTCTTAGTATTATTATTAATTTTTATTAGTTAACAGTGGTATTTTCACGCACAAACTACAAATAATTATTGATTATCCGATGTTATATATATCACAGTTGACGAAATGATATCATATCTATGATATTCGATTAAATAAGTTGACAAGCAGTTTAATATTATTGGTGATAAATAATTAATAAATTATTTGCAGTTTTTAAGATGCTTATTAGCATCAAACTATTAATAGCTTTTTAAGATGCGTATTTGCTCTTAGTGGCTGTTAATAATTGGATGCTAATAAACATCTCAAAAACTGTAAATAATTTATTGCGAAAAATATTAAATATAATATTCCTCAACCGGGATTCAAATCCGGATCTCCTGTATTCCGTGCAGGCGTCTTTCCAATTCAAAGCATGTCATATTAATTTATGATATTTGTGCTTCAGCTTCGGTTTGGGACTGTGTTTCAAGATTAACAAAATAATTGACGCGCGGTTTACTTGAACTGGAAATTGTATAAATTCACAAGAAATATTATTAGACATAAACTTGGACATGGAGAATCGCTTTGAATATGGCATTTTTTATTTATGTATGTTTACGTGTAATTTCATCGATCGATTTTCGATTATATCATTTTATATCTAACAATGTATAATTTCGGGCATTTAATTTTCTGTAATATTTTCCGCAAATGCCAAAGTCATTACAACTTTTACGAGCTTATTGCTTTAATATTGTTTATATCTACGAATTATCGACTTTAGCGACTATGACGCACATACGAAAGTTTGCTTTGTAATACCTGTACCTAATTAATTTCAGCGCTGAAATATCATTTGCGTCATAGAAATAAATCAGTCGTTTCAGATCTGACATTTCCTATCATATTAAATGTTTATTTTGAGGCTAAGATTATCATCGACGTCATTTTATCGTGATATGTGGGGTTTATTACAGTGACACGACAAACCCATGTGTGACTCGAACCATTGATTACACCAGATGATTCATTAAGTGAGCTTCTTTTTTGAAGTATAAACCACTCTATTTTTTGCTTTAATGAGATAATAATCAATTATACCGGTGTGTTATATAATGTCAATAGTATATTGCACGTAGTGTTGAAACAAATAATCTTTTATTAAATACATTCGATTTATTTTCAAGTGCAACAAAAATTTGATTCACATATTATCATACATTTTGCGTTCTAAAATACGATTGTATCTCCATCAGAAATTTTACAAAGCTATCTAAATATATTAGGAAATACTTTTGTCATACTTTCGATAAGATACCTTGGATCTGTTTAATCGAGGTCAAAGTCATGAAACTGCAGTCTTAAGCAACAACTTGATGTAATCGCGTGCAATATCAACGTCTATGTAATTTGTCTAATTTTACCTTAGAAAGAATAATTTGAAAAACAATGCATATATATTACCTTGTTTTGTTTTTAAATAATTATCAGTTTTATCTAATTAATATTATTGTTCATATATTTTTAATGCAAATTATGATGGAATTTGTTCTTTCACTTATGCGCAGTATTCTTCCACTTATAATCACGAGTTATCTGAAATTTCGTGAAATACTTTGTTTGTTCCGTTAATCTGTGAAGCACGTATTTGTTTTTTCAATCCGAGATAATCTCGGATGCGCCAAATATTCCTACTGCGCACGAAAGTTTTAGCTAATTCGATATATATCGTCAGCGTGTGTCTCTTTTAGACACGTAAAAATTTTCCAATTTATATATAAAAGAAGAATACTTTGATACTTTAATTTTATAAAATAATTTTATTATTAGAATATTTGCAAAACATAAGACTGCTTCTTCTAATGATGGAAATAGTTCGTTATGCAAAAGCATGAAAAAAAAATTATTATTTAAAAAAAATGTGTTTATAAGGATTTACAAATATTCTCAATATAAATTTCAATTTAATCTTTAAATATTAAAAAAAATCTTACACCTCTTCTCTCCTTGAATAAGATTTATTATAATTCATTATTTCATTGTATTTCTTGTCTTAAAATATGATATTGTTTCAATGTCACTATAGTAATTTTACCGTAAAAGTTATTATCGTCCGATCTCTATATATCGATGTCAGACGTAATACGACACCGATTTAGAACATCGTAATAGTTGTGTACCGAAATGGAAATGTTATCAGTTCTTTGGATTGGCCTTCACAGTCGTCTAACACGAATTCGATCGAAAATACTTTTCAATCACGAAAGGATGAAAGAAAGTATTAAAGTCTATATATTTGTACTAAAGCAGCTGTGTTCTTAAATACAATTTGTTATTACTTCTAAATTGTGCCAAATCTCGTCCATAAGTTGTCAGACCGTGCTGGATAACAATAAAAATTGAATGATTCCCTATAAACAATGACAAAAATTTATTAACATTCATTTTTTTAAATCTTTGTCTTTTTTCAAAATAACAATTTATCTTTCGGATACGCAGATGATACACAATTTTTTTGTTTATGTCACGCGAGCGTATTTGGCGAATACAAATATCGCGAGCAATCGTTCGAAAGGAGCATTCCATTACAAAAATGATATACAAAAAATTACAGAAAATGACAAATGTTGACAGTCATCCAAGGTCATTGCGGAAGGTATATTACTCATAATTAAAGGAATACACATCGCGATCGAATTAAACAGCGGGCTCGCGACCCCTACTCCGCCTGATCGCCTCGCGCGTATCGAGCACGCAGCATTCTGCGAGCCGGGCAGGCGCCGTGCGATGCCTCGACAGGACTCCCGGCGAGGTGCGGGATTATCTTGTAGACGTCGTAGTCATCGTGGTCGTCGCGGACGTCGCAGCTGAGAGGCGGCTCTCCTTCTCTAGACAAGACGGTTCAGTTCGGTTCAGTTCGTTCAGTTTGCCGCGACTCGTCGTACCGCTGTCATCCCTTTCCGTCGCCTTCCTCAGCACTGATCGAACGAGAACTGTGCGTGGTTTCTCAGTCCATCGTAGTACCGCGACGCTCCTTTTTAACGGATGTCGCGGGAAAAGAGTTTTACACAAGGCTGTTAGTGAGCCTTGATTGATTTTCTTTTTTTTCTTCTTTTTTTTTACAAAGGAAAGATCGCGCAGGGTGAAATCACACACGAAGGGTACGTGACATCAGTATGGTCATGATTGACATGGTGGATGTCATCGAGGATGAGGACCGGTGTGTATTGAGAGTAATACTTGTCGTTTTCTCGCGCGTCATCGAACCTCGTGTCGAGTGCGATTCCTATGAATCTCGGTCTCGTTATTGGCTCGCTATTGATCCCTGTTCTTTATTGGCGTTCGTCCAGTACGTTTTCCATACCGGTTACTGTTGAAAAATGTATCGTAGCTGGTAATGATCGACCTAGAATCGAAGAATTCGTGCATAATACGGTTTTATTACACTGATTTACTTCACTTGGGTTCAGGAATTTTGGAAGAAAGAGCTTAAAAATTGACCGACAAGTTGCGTTATACTTAAAATAAAATTTCATTCCCCGTGAAATTTTACGAAAATATATTTTTATGTATCACTGTTTGCCATTTACTTATGCAAAAGCACAGTGCAATCTTCTGTGATATAATTAAAATTACATGATGACAAGTTGTACTGCAATATTCGAGGAACGCTTTCGGACACGTTTTGTATCACATCGCGTCTTCCTTTAAACTCATCGCGAATTAACATCTCAAAATTGATGATTTAATTTTATTTAAATTAATAGTGCTTTTCATTGACGGAACTGCGCACTCTATCAGTGCTCATTAAAATCTTTGCATACTAATCTAATCTGAATGTAGATGTGAGATATTTCAATTGATAAATGCCGAATGTATACTTTATCAAATAATACAACAAAATCTATTGAGAATTTTGCGGTTTAATTCATTTCTATATTTTTATTAACATACATCTTTAGGTTGATTTGTATATAACAGCTTTATAGTGCACTGAGTGCGCACCAGTTCTGCCAATGAAAAATTCTATAATGTTCCTTTTAATAGTTGCTTAAAAATGATATGAGATTAATAATTCGGCAAATCGTAAGAAATGTATTACGTTTCTGTATTTATTGAAGGTCTCAGGTATTAATTATTTTTAAAATTTTTCACGCGCACATGCATAAATTTGAAAACTCATTAATGGAGATGTTAAGATCATTGTAGTGGATAAGTATAATAGCCTAGTTCGTGCATTTAACGTAACCCTGAAGAAACAAAACATGTCCGTAAAATATTACTAATATATTTTACGGACACGTAATATTTTGTGGTAATATTTTACGGACTCGTTTTGTTTTTTCAGGGTTACGTTAAATGCACGATAAGACAAACTAAGCTATTATACTTATCCACTACAATTCTTAATACACACTAAAAGAAAAACTCGTATACCGAGTATATGATAAAGCGTAAAATATTACCATGTACTATAATAATATACTTTTTGAATCTTTTGGGGCGACATTTCACTCTAAACAGCGAAAATTGAGCTTGAAAAAAAATGGTTCAATTTCCGGCCTTTAAAGCTATTATTTATAGTTGGTTCTTATGGTACTTTAAGACCGTTTTAATTAATGCCTTAATGTGACTTAATGCTAATACGACTCTCTAATTAGTTCATGACATCTTAATAAGATTGTTTTAACTATACTAATGCACTATGAATATTGGCTTGAGAGTGAGAGATCATTTTTCAGAGTGAAATTTACTCTAAAGCCCATTTTATTGCTTAAGCGTAGTTGAAAGTGGTTGTAAGAATTGACTAATCACAGTCGAATATTTTTTTCATATTCGACTGTGATTGATTGATTCTTACAACTACACCATTCACAACTACGCTTACGCAATTGTAGAATGGGCTTAAAAGTTTTAGAGTACGATATAAAAAAAGCTTGCGAATATATTATAAGGCAAATGAAATCGCTCTTTTGTAGGTACGAAAGACTTCTTAGGAGGGCAAAGACGGAGGATCTGACTGAGGTTTCGGGGATTGGTTGTTTGTACCAGAGCGGTGTGGACCGACAAGGCCGACCGGTGGTGGTTTTCGTCGGCAAATGGTTCCCGGCCAGCAAAATCAATCTAGATAAGGTAAAGACCTTTGCATGTGCCCTGAAAATCAATGTTGCTACGGATTACACAAAAAAATCTGCTTCACAGCAACGTTACAGTAGAAACGCTGTTATATTACCGGTAGAATTTCGACAAAATGGTGTTGTTGAAGGTGTATAATCTTCTTTAAGTAAAATAAAAATTATATCGCAGTTATCTTACTACAAAATAGTTTTCAAGTAATTGAATTGTAACACTATATATCACATTTCTATAGTCATTCTCTCTTGGTTGCCCTTTATAATTTAATCGATTTGGAATGTATAATAGAAAGTGTTTTACAGAGTATTCTATCGAAGTCTTTGATTTTTATGTCCTTGCTATATGTGTGTACATTTAAGCGACATTATTGTACACGAACATGTTTAGTCTAACATTATTGAATCTTTGCTTATAAATGATATAATTTCGACTATTGACTTTTCTTATAAATTTTTTCAATAAATTTCTATAAAAAATATAACGTATTTATGTTAATTTTATCGATGCATGTATCGGCTTCATAAAAATTGAAATATATTATACTGAAACTATGTATTATCATCGATTATCGTACCATCTTGACACGTTTTAATTAAACATTATGAAGTATTTCTTTATAAGTTAAAGAGATATAATTTCACGACTACTTACTTTTCTGATAAATACAATTTTCTAATAAATCACGTATTCACGTTAATTTTATCGATGTAATTCTCGAAAGGATCGGAATACTTTTTTTAATAACTCTCGAAAATACTCGACAGTTAATACGAGAATTTGTATCGCTAGTTCGCAAAGTACAAATTTTCTTATCAGATATTGGAAACGTTCCAAAATCATTATAGGAAAAATGTCTCTTTCAACTACAGGCAGAGTTAAAAAATTGTCCCACTTTTCTTTTCCTCATTTCCAGATATTCTAGATACGTGCCGGCTCTATCGAGTCCGTGCATAGAATCACAGACTCGCTCATACCGCTCGATTGCGTCCCGTCCAAGCCTTGATCATTTGGCACATATCTTGTTGCGCCAGTTGTGTCCCGTTGTGTCATTTCCTTTCCCTGTCGGACTCATCCTTACTCCGCTCATAGCCGGAACGCAGTGAGATATAGCGGCGGGTGGCGAATCGATATTTACACGTCCAGAAATAGACCGACCGCGGAACGAGTTCTCCTATGGGGAGGGCGAGAACGGACTGCAACGTCGTCGTCGCGACATGCACCCCCATCCTCAATGAAACTTTCTCATCCCATTAACCTATTTATACGTCGACAATGATTTGCGAATATCAGCACGTGGATGGTCGGCGATTAGAAGACAGAAATCGATCGATCATCAAAACTTTCTTTATTTTTCTTTTTTCGTAAATATTTAACTCTCAACTGTGCAGCTACGAAAACTACACCCGAGTTCTAAAGCATCCTGTTTGAAGTACAGAGTGCAATTGAACTTCCGCTTCACGGCGATTGATACAAGAAAGTTTAAAGTTTCTTAATTTACAATTTAAATCTCATAGTATCTATTAATCGTACAAATTACAATCATTAAAAAAATTTTCGCTTCGGATTTGTGCGAGTTTCGCGTTATAGTCGACGAAAAAAATGGAATAGCTTGTGATATGTCAGCTTTCGTCACACATAATAATCGTGACCTTCCATACAATAATTTCTTCCTTACATATTTTCCAATATTATCGATAGCAACGGAAATGTCTTAGTTCAAATTAAATAAAATATGAAATGAACAAACGCTCATATATTTTCACGTAGCAAGTTAATCTGTAAAAAAATATTTTGAAATTCAGAAAGAGGGCTGTGTTAAATAGAACTTGCATTTTTTAAAATCGTAGCTTTCAAATAGCTTTTAATCGAACGGGAAAGCTCGGTATATGTTTCCGTATGTAAAAAGGAAACGTGCAATTTCGTAAGTCATTCTTACATATGTATACTAAGACATCACGAATGCTTTGACACTCATTTCTTAAATCAACATATCCTCATTTCTTAAGTCAACATATCATCGTGACTTGTATGTCGCTAATTATTTAGTAGCGCGTTCCACTTTTATGCAAGGAAGAAAAGCTTTCAGCTCCACTTGCTCCAATTTTTTTTGCTGATTGCGATTCGCTACCGGCGATCTAGAATGCCTCGTTACTTTGACTTTAATCGAGATAAGAATATCAACAACGTCATATAGAGATTCGTCGGTACAGCTAAAAATATACACTTGCTATGCAGCGGCTGTTGAAACAACGTCATGTAAACGGAACGTTCGCGTGAGGTGCGTGTTCTAAGACGAGAGATGCGATGTGCGTAATATCAGTCGCTATTAATACTGATTCCCCATTAAGTTTGTTAATTTAAACATCTGTGCGATACCTCCCTCTGCGTCTTTGTATCCACTGACCCGCTTTCGAGATGAAACATTTACGCTCAGTTAGGACTCTAGTTACACAGCGACCTGAGATAATGTCTCCAGGTTCACAATACATAGCGACACGTTTCGCAATTTATGGAATAACATCGACGTCATTTCAACTTGGCACGAACTTATTGTTGATTGCACCACTGATTTACCTTCCATCGAATTTTTCGCTTTAGAGCTCTTGCTAAAACGGAAGTTCTAAAGGCGAAAAAATTTCAACCTCTTCACTGTCTTACATTGAAATAATAACGATCGCCGTACACATTGCGTGATGATATTATTTGATTGTAATCAGACACGCATAGTTGATTCGTATAAGAATATGTTTGTGAAATAACTGCGAAGTTTGCATTATATCCTTACAACCAGTATTATCATTAATTTTATGTTAATAAAACAGCAAGAATTGATAAAATAATATATAGCAATATTAAAATTGTTGTTAATAGGCAATATAAGAGTCGTTAGTTAACAAACATCGAAAATAAATGCTACATAACATACTCTGTCTAAAATTTTTAGAATCTCACTCTGAAGAGTAAAATCTCACTCTTAAAGATTGAAAATTGAGTCACTCTTTATCAGAACACTCAATTTTTACTCTTTAGAGTCAGATTCCACTCCAAACAATTTAGAGAGTAGAGTAAACCATATATATGTTATATGGCAGTTATATCTATGTTTGCTAGGTATGTACATAACAATTTTGTAAATACACTTGTATGTCATATATTGAACGACGACCGACAGTTTTTTGTCTCAATATCCTTGAAATCGATCCTTCTGTTACAGATCATTTAAGACATTGATTTCCGCACTAAACAGATTTCTATGAATTTATATAATCT